GAGATCACCACCATATTTTGTCGATTTAACGCGCGTTGCAGTTGACGTTTTGTCAGAATATTGTGGTTTTAAATACATATATACCGGCATAATAATGTCGGTGGAATTGTAATCATTTTGATCTTATTAAGTGCCCGCTTACAAGGTTATAAGCGAAAAAAATAGAAATAAAGATTTCTTTTGCTTATTTTTGGTCAATACTAAAATTTAGTTAGTATTTTAGAAAAAAATATTGGTATCAACAACGACGGAATCGGAATAAGAGGCAGATAAACATTCATTTAATCGGGCGGAGAAAAAGTCAGTATTCAAATTCAAAATTTCTTTGCGCAACTTAACCAATTAACCAATTTAACCAATTTAATACTTTATCAGTGAATTACAAACTCGTCTTGAGCAAAACTGCCAAAATGCCACATTACTTGTGCAAAATTTGACATATTTCACAAGATCAGAAAATGGATATCAATTGTTATTTTAAAATGACAATTACACCTTAAATTTGTCGTATTTTTTACTACTGAAAACCAACATGCCTACGAGTATTGTTGTTATTCGAAACATGGTGTTATTATTACTTTGGAATTTTTGCTTTCCGATGAGAGAGAAAATTTTTGCGTTTCAGGTTTTTCTATTATTTTCTCTTTGATTATTAATTAATTAATTTAATGCTTTACTAACGTTTGAAAAAGCTGCTATTTGGGAAAATATTGTCTCGTTAAAACTAAAAAAAACTCTTTATATAAGATCTTCATACAAAATTTCAAAAAATTGAAAAGTTTTTACTATCTAGCGACAAAATTATTAGGATTTTTTTAAGGAAAGTTCAATAGCCATATAATGCGAAAATAAATGTTAATTTTTGGTATGTCAAATTCTACCCACTCACTAAAAAAGACAAGATGCAACGAAAAGTATAAAAATATTGTATAAAAATATCTTTACCCCCTTCTAAGGCTGCGTTTATGACAGAAAATGACAATGACAATATCGTCCTCTAAAAATTTGATAGTAAATATTATAAGAAATACATAAATTAAATAACTATATGTTCTTTATCGAAAAGGAGTTTATGAAAGAAATAAATCTCGAAGTCAGGTATGACGTAACATTAACTTTGTAGCCGAAAATCAGTTTAAACTGATAACACGTAGCCGAATTATTAATTGGCAATTGTCGCATCCATTGTGATTTAATATGCTAAACGAGATCAGATCAAAGGCCGGCTAATTATACGACGAGTTTATTTGCGTATATGTTTACCGCACGTTACCGTTTGCAGATGACGCTAAAACAAACAGTAAATAACGGCAATCCCGATACCGATTGACATCAATTTGTTTATTTTCGCTTCAATTTGGGTTTAATGTCAGTAGTGTTGTTTAATAGCCGCTAGGTGTGCGCCAGAAAGTTACTATTTTAAATTATAGCGTGTTTCGTATGCGAAAGATGTACGAATATTCTTCATTCTGCAAACGTCATTTTTGACAGAAAATATTAATATCTCAAAAGCAGTTTTCCAAAAAATTGGAAAACGGAATAATATATAAATTATGCCATCTTGAAAAATACTATAGTGTTCTTAACGCACGTGAATACAGAATATTTATTAATATACAAATTTAAAAATCCAGATTGAGAGTCTAATTTTGATCAAGGTTTCAGACCGAAGTTTGTCAGATTTGAGATTCGTGTTGAAGCTGGTTTAATATTTATTACTTAGAACTTTTATAAAATACGATAATTCGCCGGAAAACACTTTTTTCTACCCCCGTATGTGAAGTGCCTATTTACACGCCGACTTAGCGCGCGGGAAGCGTCACTTTACCACGTCAGTTTTGTTTCCCACGGATGCGAGCCACTTCGGACATTTCCGGGATTTTGCCGCACGGGTTTGGGAGCAATCGGATGTTTTCGAAAATATTTCCCACGCTTTGAATTTTGACGTTTGTCAATTCTGATGGTCATGCCAGTGAATGCATTCGTGTTGTTTTGCGAAAATGTACCCAAAAACTAAGGGTTGTGGAAAAAGTACAGGATGCAAATTCACTTGCATAATATATTCACAATTCACAATGTAATACCCACTGCCAGTCTATCCAAATGAGTCATTTATGAAATGCCGAGAAACCTAATCAACATACGCAAATGATGGTCAGTTCGATAAATTCCTGCTTCCAGTTAAGCAATTTAACATTGTAACGACTGATAAGACTTCCCACAAGGAAGTCAATGTGCTAGTTCTCAACCATTTAACAGAGTGTTTAACTTTAGCATTTAATTACAACTAAAATATACAGCTAATTATATTCATGAAACCAAAAAAATAATTATGTAATAAATATATTGAATATATTATTCAATTACAAAATTGTCATCTATTATGCAGTTTTAAATGCTCTTTTTTCATTCAATAATAAAATAATCCAATTTTACTTGTTTTTTACCGCACATCGTAATTTTCCACCGTTTTAAAGTCAGATCTAGACCAGTAATTTCATATATGGTTAAATGTTTAAACAAGGTTTTTAAAATACTAGTAAAAGTTTAGAATTATTTAATAGAAAAATTGTGCATTTATTACAAACTATATGTAAGAGTTTATAATTTTGTATTTTGGTAAAACAATTTAATAATATTCGTTATATATTATACATATATTTATAATATAATAATAGAGAGCACTTTTAAAGAATTGTCAAAAACATTGAATTATTAAGCCCAGTACTAGTATTTATAAATTGTTTACTCTTTTCTGCTCAGTTACTGAAATTTAAAATATTTCAAGTTTATATTTTGTTCCTCTTGCTGAAAATGTGGTCACTAAATACGTAAAACTGAAGATCCCGAGATATGCTGGTGATGTTCGAGAACTGATCACTAACTAATGCCTACTACTCATTTGTCGTAATTCGTAGATTTAAGATTTATTGTGGTGCAGCCTTATGTTATCACCGTCTTCACGTGTCCATCATATTCAGCAAAGAATGTCTCAGATTTCGGTCCCCAGATTTGAGTATTTGATTCTTCCTACCGCCGGAGGTCTGCATAATGCGTGCTTTGTTCTTTTCTTATCCTCGAAGCGCAGCTGACACTCGCTCGGACACTCATAATTGGCGATGCATGCCGGTTTTGTGCATAAAGTGTTACGTTTTATTCTTCTTAGACCCTTTTGCCCCAGCGAATGCAATTGTTCGGATAAACTTGATACACATCAGAAAACTGCCCTTCATTGTGGAGCTACGCGCTCTTCAACAGTGTATGGAGCCATATTTTTGAGAGTAATAAAAAATAAAAACTACGAAATTACACTTTACCGAGAGCCTCTGACATTTTTTTTTGTTTATCATAGCCTTCTTGACTTTTTATTCGTTGTCAGGTAAAACAATATGCTTAAAACCCGTAGCGAAATCGTCATACAAGAATATTAATTTGTCAATCTTTCGAGAAAAATTTACCTTTATTTTTCATGGCAAATAAGATAAAATTATGAAATTGGGGGTTTCCATTTAAAAAAAGAAAGAAAGAAATTCTATTAAAGTAGGTTGTTGTCGACAAAGTATTAAACCCAAATTAAAAAATAAAGATTTCCTTTTAAAAAAAATGGGTATCTTTCTTAGGGCCTGCAAATGACATATTTGAGATAAAAATTTAAGTATGCCAAAACCATTAGACATGGATATAGAACATTATATATGAAATATTCCTAGAAATTTGAGTTGGATAATAATATACAGGATGCTTTTATTTGTTTATAGGGTTCATAGTTCGTGTTTTTTTATTTAAATTCATTCCATCAATGCCTAACTACATAGAAAATATCCAGAAAACGCGTTCGATATTTTTCAATATCGCGCGCTTCTATTTTAACGCCACTATCCAAATAATCTAGGGTTGAGTGGGCGGCATCAAAGAGCATACGGTTGTAAATAAAGCATCACCCCAATAAATTTTAGATTAACTTCTGAACTACGACATTTGGCAAGTTTAATCTAATAAAGTAATTCCATCCACTTAAAAGCTTCGCTGGCTTATTGATATCAATTTTTTAACTGCCGCCATGTCCTGTTATAGAAAAAGCGGTTCAGCGACGAGAAGTATTTATGTTGACCGCTATAGATAAGCTCCATTAGTTTAAAATATTTTTTTTTTGTTTTGATTTATATAATCATTTAACATTGCATTTATATGATTGGGTTTCTTGCAGCTCACCAATATGATGTTTTTCATAAAACAAAACAACTTGTTCCGCTCATACCAAGTATTAAATAGATGTTAATTATTAACTTATTTTGACGTGTGTAGAATAAGTATAAATAATCGCCACTAATCTTAATCTTACATCTGTTTAAATAAAGTGATATTTGATCTATGTTTGGTCGGATGTTTCTAATGGCCAAGTCACGCGTCTCTCACTGACGAATGTATTTGTACTGTTTTAAAAAAATGTCCCAAATCTAATGGTCGTAGAAAAAGTACAGTACGGCAGTTTTTACAAACTTACAAGATGCTAAAGTTTTCTAATTTGATGATAAAATATTGGGTATTATATGTAGGTCCACAACAGCTATGATTTTGATGGGCATACTTTCCAAAAAATATGTTTTATTTACTTCTTTAATAATTAATATCAAATTTTTAAACAGTTTTCTTTAATGTGATGCCCTGTGCATATTCGTAACCATAAATTTTTTCGGTGCAAATTTTGCCACTAAAGGTACGCTTTTTGAAAAAGCTAGCATTTAAATTTAAATTTGTATTTTTGTATGGTCTAAATTGAATGGTATATCCAGGACATTACACTCTAATATTTGCTCAGTAATATCAGAGTGTCATGGTACACTGTTACGCCCTAATGCACGAACCAAATGTTTGCCAATAAATTATATTGGTTTTATCGATAAGTTCGAAGCGCGCGGAACTGATACCGATTGGTCTCCTGAAACGATACCTTTCGTTATAAATAAATAAGAAATATAAAATTAGTTTTTGCTTTACAGAACGACCGATTGAAGACCACGAGTTGGTACTGAAGCTTTTTGTTCAGCAGCAGGCATTCAGGACCGAAGTTTTTAGATTCGGATATCAACGAAGCGAATACCGATACAATTTTTTGAAAAAGTCCGGAGTAAGTGCTGTAAGAGATACCTAGCTTGTGTAGTAGATTTTTTTAATCCGAATTTTTTTTTTTAACAAAAATTTACATTTTTGTATGTTCGTTTGAATTATATCTCAACGTTTCGATTGATCTCTTTCCCCATGAACAGAATAGACGTCAACCGAAACGTTGACGTGTAAATTCCAATAACAGCAAGGAAGTCAAGCAAGCAGTGTAATAATCAAATTCCTATCATTTAATTTCATTTAAATTCTTGTTATTGTGAAATATTGTGCACGGTGGTAGTGACATTAGCTGTTAATATTGGGTGTCTTTAATAATAAGTGTAATAATGAATCATTAAGAGCACATTTTTATATCGATAGTGGGCGCCATCTAGCGCCAACTAACTTAACTTTAACTAACATTAACATTGACGTCGTGTAGAGTCCGCTTTTATTTCCATTCGTTATGGTTTGGAAATTCACTAGCAGATGGCGCACCAGTGGTATTGAGAAATTTTTTAATAGTGCAACCGCTGATTAATAGATGCCGCCGCAATAGATTCTTCATACAGTGGAACCACGGAAAAAGTTCAATGCAAATTCTAGTTCTTTCAAACCTTTGATTGTGCGTTTCTATTTTTTAGCTTATTTTTTGGATGGTTGCCACAATAAATAATAATAATAAATTTTACTTTTTAAATTAAAATTATTTCAAAAATCTTATAGTTTATTAAACATATAGAACATATAGTGCAGAGATCTTCGGTTTATTTTTGTAAAATATATTTTTTCTATTCTCAGAATTTCTTCATAAGAAAAGACCAAGTCCAATGCAATCCGCGTCTTGACGAACCGCCTAAATTTGTCCAAATCGCAGATCCAAATTTTCTAATAACTGAGGTAAGTTTAATATTCTTTTATATTTAGTATTAAGATAACGCGAACATTAATATGTCTTGCATGTATTGCTAAACAAGCGAATTTTAGTGGTTTTAATTTGCTGAAAGTTTCGATCGCATTATGAAAATTGCATTCTTCTTTTTTTCGAAAAAATGTTGCTGTTATCGCCCATAATAACTGTAATCCCCAGTAACTAGATTATTGACACATTATTTTAGGCTTTTAATTATCTGCTACAATATAACCAATATTATTGTGTGTCGGATATAAAATCGTAATTGGTAATTAAACGAGACATAGTTTTGACTGCCATGTGTGGATAAAGTGCATAAAATGAAAAAAATCAGGACTGAAGAATTTACTTTAAACATTTGTACTTGAAGCTGAAAAAGTTTTAGTGTTGTATTGACTCTAAATCGCGCTAAAAATAAAATATATTGCGGTTTGGGTTAAGTTAAGCAAACCTAACCGTCTGCTGTTATTAACTAATTGATCATTAGTTGTTTACTCACAGATGCACGATTTTTTGCGTTACATTATTTCAAAATATCTAAATTTAGGAACATTGAACTTAAATGTCTTCGCCAACCGTTCGCAAACTCTCGTAAAATTTAAATTCGAAGTGGTTTTAGCAGTCGGAAACTTTCATAGGAACAATACTGATTTGTAGTGATTTGTTTAGATTGATTTATTTTTCTTGTGGTAGGATGAACCGTTAAATCCAGAAGTAGCCAATCCAATTTTTGCCTCCGAGCTCTTGTATCGTAACAAGCGAGGCAGTTGGGTGCCCAGAAGCTGCCTGCTGAGAAATAAGAAGTTTTATATGGGTAACAATTTGCACCTTGTCACCAAATGTTACTACATGACAGACGAGCAATTCGACAGCGAGGTAAGTTGCATTATTTTTTACGAACCTTTTGAAAAGCAAAACTATATTGCCAAAGCACTTAACTATAAATATTGTGGAGTATATAACCAAACCAAATAAGTTGTTACCACAATGAATATATAAACTTAGAACTAGTGCCAGCTAGGTTGATGTAACATCCATTTATACAACCGCTGATGTAATGCGGAGATAAATGAAGGGACTAGTGCATAATTCCGTGCTAATGGCAGCACTTCCTTTTCTTTTCAAATGTTCCTATGTATGGTCTAGCAATTTGGGGTTATACTGCTCATCCGTGTGGAGTATTTTCGCTAGAGACCAAATTAGTACGAGTAATGGGATATACCGTTGTCGGAAAACCATATTTTATTAAATTGTATATTATGGAATTGCGGAGCCAGTCTATTTTGTTATGCCTTATTTCCGAACAGAAAGACACCACTAATTCCGACCACCTTAAACTACCAATAAAATTAAAAGATTTAAGAATTTAAACTAACTTAACAGCTTACAGCTTAGAGAATATCTCAAAATTCATTTTCGGAAGTATCAGTTTTATGTAATGTTATATTTCAATTATGGGTACTGTATTATGTACAGAGACTTTGTTTTTATATTTGTATGTGATTATATTATTATTATATATTATTATATTATGTTAGTATATTATATTTGACTCACGAGTTTATTTGGCACGAGCGGAGCGGAGCGCAGCGAGTACTTAATAAACGAGTGAGATAAAGAGTTTATCAAACGTGTTGCATACTATACTTTTTCTACAACCGTCACGAAAAAAATCACAATTTACTAGTTGTCATTAAAATTATTCGTTTATCGCTCCGATCGGTTCTGCTATTGTTGTCTCTTTTTAACTGTGTACGTTAGACAGAGAGAGATGTATTATTGGATATTTCATATAAACAACGTAATAAACACAATTTTAAAACGTTATGTTGTTTATTTAACTTTTACAATTGATCATTAAGTAGAAGAAGAAAGGATAGAACTTTTAAGAGGATTTAATTTCCAGGATCGTATAAGCAAGAAAAAGCACGTCCTAACCTTCAATTTTTTTTTTGTACTGACGAGACATATATATTTGAAAATGGTACAATTAGTCTTGCAACATATAAATATATAAAATATAAAAACCACTAAAGTCCGTGCGAAGGGTATGTAAAATTTCTGTGGGAAACTTAAATTATAAATGTTACTTTACTTACCGACTGGTCCACTAGATTTTAATTGTGGCTTATAGCACGTAATATTTAAATTGTCTTATATGTTGCATAACATTTTTCGGTGTATTAGTTGTTGGGTACATTTTTGCAGCACGAATACCGTCAAAATTGACAAACCATGCGGCAATATCTCCGAAAAGATCCGATTGCTCCCAAATCCGTGCGGTAAAATCCCGAAAATGTCCGAAGTGGCTCGGATCCGTGGGAAACGAAACTGATCCGGTAAAATAGAGATCCCGTAAAAATAACGCTTCCCGCACGCTAAATCGGTTTGTAATTAGGTATTTTGCAGATGGGAGTAGAAAAAAACGATTAGTAATTGTAATATAAATAAAAATTTAACCCAGGCAAACGAAACAGGTTTTGTTGGAAAAAGAAAAAAGATATATATAATTTTTTTTCCATAACATTAGTTTGCTGCACATATAAACATTCTTGAACTTCAATATATATTGTTATGTATCACGCGGGTTATAATTTAACACATTTTGGCATTAACCGCCTTATTAAATGTGAGAATAGAAAGAGAAAATACTTTTTTTTATTTTAATTTAAAACTTCCTACGGGGTAGATACGGTACAGAATGTTCGACCTTGCATTCTCGAGAAGTTTAGTCGAACAAGCGCGTCGAGTTTTTTTTTCTTTCGATCCATTAAAAATATGAAAGTCAAATGAAGGTGCATCCGGTAGTTTTGGCGGCTGCACGGAACAGATTTGCATTACACGAAGCAGACGTCTGGCGATCCGCCTTGGTTACTCATTTCATCTCGTCAAAATGCGCAAGCAATAAGTTACGGCTGTCGATAAATCTGGCAATACTTTTATCGTTATTGTTCCGCTCGATCGTCGTAAAAAAATGTACTGCATTTTTCATTTTTATAAAATCTTTAACCTTTGGAGAAATTGATCGTTCATATGCAACCCGGCTTAGATTTAATTTAAATTTTAAACAATCGTGAATATTCGAATTTTCGCATATTTGAACAAGTAAAAGTTGAGATGGAAATAATCTTGTGTACGTTAAATATACTTATTTAAAATATTTTTTTTCCATAACACTCTATTTAGAAAATTTTACATGTGGGGACGATTTTGTAACATCTTGACTTATATTACTCTGAGTTTGGACAAGAGTAAATTATTTATGATTAAGACTTTCGATTACGGTGTTCCGTCGAATAAAATATTTTAAAAGTTTTTCGGTTTAATTTAGAGTTTATGTTATCATAGCAAAGTGTTTTGTTCACTGTTTCTAAGGTAAATTACATCTAATTTTTTCGAGAGTACGAACTTACAGAATCCCAAAAATTATAGTGTATCCAAACTTCGATTTTTGCGATTTTTTGCTATACAGGTCGTTTTCTAAGCTTGCCATTTGACTGTACCAATACAATACATACACGTCAACTGTTACAATACTTTTAGTTGTTTCTTTAACGTTAACTTGAAAATTTTATGGCAGGACTCATCTTTTTGTTTGTTTTTGTTTAGTAAAGTATTTGACCTTGAAGAAATGTGGGTGTGACTAACATGATAAATTTCAATGGGTTATAATTCAGAATTTACGAAGAATTTTGCCATTTTGCTATAAATTGGACACACAGGGGTTTACATCATTAGCATTATCTAGGCTGAGTTTTAAAAAAAGTCATTTAGTAAATGCTAGACAAATTTTCATTAGATATAATAGGATCGACCCGATACTTACGGACAAAACCAGAAATGAAATTTTGAAATATGTTAAACTTAGTTTTTTCGTATGTTATCGTATTTATCGATCTGTATCGATACAAAACATACAATAAACACATAATTTAAAAGTCATAACAATATATTTTTATTGTATAATGCCAAGAAAAAACACCTGGCACTAATTTTCATTTTAACATGAAAACAAAAAAGCAAAATAATGAGGTTGCGTACAAATTGTCAACCTAGGCGTGGGTGTGTGTGTATGTATGTGTGTGTGTGTGAGAGAGAGAGAGAAAGTTTTTGGATTTACTAATTTTGGTTTTCAAAATGTTCTCTAGAACTGAATATTACGATACTATGATAATTTAGTAAAGTAATTAAATATAAAATTAAATCTAATTAGATTTAAAATTGACTATTATACTTAAAATAATACGATCCACAAATTCTGTGACAGTTTTTTGACGACGTGTGTGGACGCGACAAGCGGGACAAACGCCATCTTGAAACTGTTAGAACTCGGTTGTTCAAGGTTGGAGCCCCAATTAAAATACAAAAGACATCGCGAATATAACCAAAACTAAGTGATCGTACTTATTATAAAAGTCAGGTCTAAACGTCGACCAAAATGTGCAGATAATACTCGGTCCTGACCGTGAACTTGAAATGCGCATTAAAGCTGCATATAATGCTGACCTTGGCCTTGTGAAGCCATTATAGGGGGGCCCGAAAAAAAGACCAAGAAACAGAACTCGCCCGACCGTCGCCGAACCAACAGCTGATTCATCCACGTTATCCGAGTTGCATTCGTAATGGAGTGTTTCGTAATACGTTACCGGATCGACAAATAATAGAACGGGATGCTTCTGCGCATATATAGGACGGTCAAATAAACCCTTTTGCAAAATTTAATGTGGGAGATGGAAGAATATTATAAAAAGTCATTTTAAGGGTTACGTTATATTGGTTAGTTGATTTTTAAATATAAACAACGCTATCGAGCTTGCCTTTGCCTTTGCTTACCCTTGCTAAATACTTAATGGCGAATATGTGGACATAATCAAACATAATTGAGGTTTGCGTAAAAAGTTGAGTAAATTCGATAAGTGCAAGATTCAGAAAGTAAGCCCATGGTTTCAACGGAGGAGGGCAGAGTGCAGTGCACATGTATTTAGAATGAATGAAGACCGGTTGGTGAGAAAGATTAATGACAACGTCCCTTATGGAAAGAGAAGTCGTGGTCGAGCAAGAAAGAGGTGGACCGGCGCGTTGACTAAAACAGGTCCTAGACGTATTATAAATAATAATAAGAAGTAGATGAATAATATACACTGCACAGTGTGACTCGTGTATCATGAAAATGGCAAGTTTTCTGTAGGCTTTTTTCGCTTTGTATTTATTTCTATTAGATCAGATTGTTTAACCCAATTTTTGAAAGAGAACGTCTGCCAACGTGTAATATAATGAGAAAAATTTGAAAAAATACAGACGGAAGGTTGCATGTATTTGATTTAATTTTTAAATTAATAGCGGATTTCAAAATAAACACAAAAATTAGACTATACTTCCCATTCGTATAATGCTTGTTCGGTTGAAACAAGTGACCTCTATAAACATAACTCTTGACATGATTACCCTGTATAATTGACCGGAACAGTCGAATAAATAATATGGGCGATAAGTGCCTGTGCTGTTTACAGCAGGCGAAATTTATTTTTAAAACTAATGAATTTCGGTCCGAATCTAATTAAAATTAACTTGCACCATCGCTGCATCTTCGTAACGTTAATATAAAAAGCATATCCAAATAGTAGGTCGCTTCGTAAAACTTATTAATAATATTGGTAGTATGATTTTTTAATCCATTCCATTACATTCCAGAGGACTCAATTGTGTAACACTGGCAAAAAAGGATTCGAAAAATTAATAAGAAATTTAAAATTTCTCAATATACCATCAGAAACAGATGAAAGCTTTTACTTAAGGTTATAATTATTTAATCATGAGTCAGAGTTTTCAACAATTTTCCATCTCGCTAAGATTCTCTAAAACTCACAGTTTCGATT